CCCCCCCCCCCCCCCGCCCCGCATGTCCTGCTTTCTCCAAATTTCTCAGGTCATTGTAGGCGGCACGACGTTCTTACCCCCAGCGGGCTTCTTGCAAGGCTTGAGCGGGTTGGCTTAGCACCGTACGGCTGACAAGGGACGGTATCCGAGGGTTTGTTTTCTTTGTCTTTTCAAGTCGGTAAATTGATCGCGCCGTTGAACGCTACAAACTCGGCTGTCTGACGTACTGAGTTAAGATACCCCCTGGGTCTGGTACCCGTCTGGCGGCAGTGCAGCAATCGCACGCAACCCAAATGAGGTTCGCTGGGTAGGTAGCACGGGGTTCCCGCGGCTGAACCGGAGATTTAACATTTCCGTTAACGTTTGCGTGATCTCGCGCAGAGGTGCCTTGAACCGTCTCATCGAGGGAATGGACGCGATGCACCACCCTTGACTTTTTTTTTTCTTGGCCGGAAAAGGCGTGCGGTTTTATTCACTCCTTGGTGTTTGTGTGTGTACAAGTACTGTTTCTCAAGAGGTATTTTACGTTGTTGTGTCTTCTACCGATGGGTGGTATCATTAGGTTTGCCATGCGATTCAAGTTTTCCCCGACAACCATATAGCCTAGTCTAACAGGGAGCTCAGCGCGAGGATGGGGAGTTTCTGTCGGCTAGATTCTCGCTGGGAGGTTCATTCAATTCATGGTTGGTGTGTTCGTTTTGTAGAGATATCCGGCGGAGTGTATCTTAAGTGTTTTGTTCAAGTGTTTTGTCTCAACGTAATGTGTGCGTTCGCCAATTTGTTTTGTCCAGTATATCAACCCGCAAGGTCGATCGCTGCATCACCAGGTGACCCCAGGGTGAGCACCAAACACGAGACAATGAGCCCGATTAAAGACTTGTCGAAGGCATGCTCGTGTGCCTTTCACGTTCTGACTCGTGATTTCCCAATTTGGACAGCGAAAGCTGGGAATGCAGACTCAGGAAGGGTAGGTATCGTTGCTGGAGTAGCTGCGACTCGTTCGTTCCGTTTGCCCCGACGCTTGTATTCCGTTTTCGTTCCGTTACAATTCCGACTTCGCTGATCATGCTATCGATCCCGCCGCGAACCTCCAACCACTAGACGCGGTGCCCTTGTCACGAGGAAAACTTCCCCCCCCTCCTTGTGGTCGACACCCCCCTTCTGCTAAACCCTCCTCCCCTCGCTCGCCACGAAGCTATTCTTCCCTACATTGCATGAAACACATGACCCTGCCTTCTCTTCGTTGCGACCCCGATCAAAAAGCACCATCACATCAAATCGGCGCCACTAGGCCACCTTCCTTGCGACCCCAAACACAAAGCACCACCACAAGGGGATAGCTAGCAAGACACCGATTGCGTGTGCCCGTTGGAAGGCGTGTGGCTCTTGCTGGCCCGGTACCGCTTTTGGTGACCGCATTCTGCAGTGGCGGTGGCCATGGCGGTGCTGGCGGCGGCGGCGGTTGCTTTGCCGAAAACCAACCCAGCCCCAGCTGCTGGAAGCATGCACATGGTCGAGAGAGGCATCGGGTAAACAGGGGTGCGTGAAGAGAACAACGCGGAAGGGTCCGGGCGGGAAAAGGGGAGGGGGTTCCGGGTGATATGTGATGTTAAGTCTAGCTGGCGGAGCGGGAGGTCCTTCATGCCCAATCTAGTCCCGGACCTGCAAAACTTGCATTTTTTCCACCGCAAGGGGCTTCTAACCTTCGACTGAGGTTAGCGTGTGGTCCCAATGACCTTTCAGCCCATCTCCGGGACGGGTGAGTTTAGGTAACACTGCCCCTGACGATTTCTTGGAGACGCTCGGGGAACGAATTGTTGTCGTTGTCACTCGTGCTGTGTTGTCTTGCAATACCACGGCGGTCGGCCTCGTGTAGGCAGTGACGCTTCAAATCAAGCATCTCAGCAAGGCCAGAAAACCAGTCGAAGACCACGTTTTGCGTCAACACCTCGCAACTTTTCGCACCGAAAATAGCCCCCCGGCTGCGACAGGGAAAGGGCACTCCGTGGGAACCGGTTAAGCTCGGTGAAACGGCGCAACAAAATTCCACCAATCAACTCGTCCGCACGCCAATCAGAACTCCATTCCTGTTTAAACTCTCAACTTACCGCGCAATCTGCTAACAACCATTCCGTCCGCTCGGCATTCGTCTAATAAACATCTCTGCGTCTCTGAGAAAGCTAACTGCCGGAAAACTCGGACTGTGACCCATATGAAGTACCATATATTTCCCACCCGTTCTTGTGGATGCCTGGGGTTACAGAAGCACGCACCTCTTCAGGGTGTGCATACACTACAATAGCCGTGGGCACAAAGGAACAAAGGACAGTTCCGCCCCTTTTGGCCTACAGTATTATGAAAAATCGTTTCTTCGGTCATCCACGGTAAGCGTTAGATTTAACTTGGCTAGTCTACATCGCTTTGGCAAAAATCGTTGAAAATGCTCAAGTGCGCGACCCCCTCTCTCCGCGTGTCGAACAGCAACCAACCCCGCTTGTGTCGAAATTGCAGCGGGGTAGTCATAGCAGACAAGTTCGAGGGGCAACTCTAAACAAACCCTACAGAAAATGCCAAGTTCCTTTGGGCTCAGCACAGCCCTTAAGATGAAGTTTCATCGTACCTTGTGCTTCATCTGGCTGTTGGCTCCAAGAGTTCTTGTGCAAGATTTCTGCTCGCTCAACACCGAGCTAGGCGCAGCCGTTGTCGAGCTAGCTTGTACAGCGCTCGGGTAGTATCTGTGGGCGCATGGGGATAACAGCCGATGGCGTTTGATACAAGAGCATGGTGTAAACAGCTTAACGCGTGGGTGATCATAATGTGCACTTCGCTTACAAATCAATGCGACCGCTTACGGCCGGGATCGTTCTCCGTTCGTCGAGACAGCCTCGGTTCAGCGACAAACTCGTCGGTATTCACCAGAACCTTTAGACGACACGAGAGGGCAGACATCACACAACGGCGTGAGAGGGGTGGAAACAAAGAAGTACTCCACACGCCAGGGCTTTCACCATCGCCACCATATTCCCCCGTACACACCTATACAACCCTGTCCTTCGGTATCGTGTGACCTTCGTGGCGGTCGTGCCTGCTTTGTGCATCAAGCAGAAGGAGAGGAGCACGGAGAGAGAACTTATGTTGCTGTTAGTCCAATCGGCACAAGCCCTCCCGTGAACCACCCTCTTCGGGGTCATTACTCCCGAACCGCTCGACCTTGTCTCTCTATTCTCCCCCCAAAGTGCACGCAATGCCTACTTGCAACAAGCTGTGCATGACTCACCGGAAAAAAGCAAGGAGACATACTCCCATCATGAAGATCTACGTCGTGATAGTGCCACCGAGGTGCCGTCGACGATCGGGGGTGTACAGAACGGTAGTCTGCGAGGTCACACGGAACCACTTTCAAGCCGCTGGATGAATAATTTACGAAAGGACCATCCAAGGGGCCGCGAACTTACAATACAGGTGGACGGGGGATGTGTGTGTACTCATAGCCGTGCATGCCGTAGTCGTTAGACCATTGACCTCGCATCCCTACAAAGCCGGGACGGAGCACGCCGGGTTCTCGCTGGACCAGGCTCTCACATCACCAAGCGCTAAGCGCCGTGGATTATTCGGCTAGTCGCATGCAGGGTGCGCTTCATCCTGCTAAGGGTGTTCGGCATCTGGTGCTTACTTCCCTGCAAACCGATGACAGCTGCGAATGAGATAATTTATTTTCTGGTGTTTTCACTTCCAGAGATAGTAAAGCACTGTGTAACTGCCTCGAGGGTGCTTGACCAATTTAACACAACGTGGTGCGATCATCCCCTTTTGCGCGAGTAAGCGTTCTCGACCCCGCACAACAGAACCTAGTCTACTCGACCACCATTTTGGTTGCCGGAAAAAAGAACAGATGCAAAAAAAGGGGTAACCTGGTTGTCGACCTCAGGAAGCGACCGGCGTGTTTTTACAAAGTCGTTGCCAAGCGAGAAAAACCCAACGTTGAAGGGAGGGGATGGAGGGAGGGCACAACGCTGCCAAAATGACGGTCATGAACGCGGTGTTCCGCGTCTTGCTTCATTCTGTGCTCGTAGAAAACACAGGTACACCGCAGTCCCCGCGTTTAATTGACCGTGTTGACCTTCTCAAGTGATGTCGTCTGGGTACTTGGCGTAGGCGTACTGCCTAACATTGGCTGTGGAATCAACGCACGCGAGAACATCGCCAACTTGTCCAGGTTCGAGACAATCAAGAAGCCATCAAGAGAACCACCCAATACAGGTGAAGCACCAAAGGTAATGCTGTTCCGTCCAAAACACTCGTCCTCCGCCAAGTTGTTCGGAAAACTCGAAAAATGGTCTGCAGCCAAGCGCGACCCCCAAGCAGCAACAGCCACAAAGCACAACTCTCGTGTAACTATTATATATAGTAGATTATCTGTATGGATTGAGATCATTACGCAATATCCATCTCTGCGTGTTGCGATAACCAGCCATAGCTCACCCCTCGTTTGTGCGGAGCAGGAATCACTGTTCCTCAAGGATTGCTCCAAGGTACCACAACTGACACACGAAGCCAGAGTCTCTCACTATCTGATAGGAAAATCGAGTCACCAGCCCCACTGCCCGTATCATCCAAAGGTGGCCGGTTGGTTGCCGAGGCAACCCCCACGCCGCCGACCCATGGTGGCGTCAGAGCAAATGAGTAACCGCACGAAGAGTACAGACGACGTGTTCATATTCACAACGTACCCTCATGTGGTTGCACTACTGATCACAGTTTCGGATGTCAGGTTCGACCTCCCACACTGGGTGCACGCAAGACCAGGACAGACTAAATAGCACATTTAGAGATTGCGCAGTACAATTCTAATACATATACTTCTTGAAGTATGAATAGCGCTCACACCAGGTACACGCCCAGGTATCCAAGAATTGGTAGCTTCTGTATGAGCAACAACTGCATGTGTTTTATTAGCTCTCATTCAGCTGAACAGGATTGCAGAGTAGTGGTGGATGGCAATTCGGATCGAAGAAGAGACAGAGACAATTCTTAAGGCGGAGGTCATGGGCTTGGGTCTCGGAACAACAATCCGCGCTCAAAATCGGGGGGAGGCCGAAATATCGTGTACATGTCCGCCATAATCGTCCACCCCAAAACTGCATTAATTCGATAGACCAGAGCCTGTTAGTTTGTCGCCGACTTTTAATTATTGGCGAAAAGTTTAGGAAGAGGAAGCACCACTATATTTCTACGCTGTGGCGACCGTGGAAGGGCACCCGCCTGCTTGTAGCTGTTACCCCGCCCGTCGCCGTTGCAAGTGCCAGTGAAGTCACCCTTCTTTTGTCAGCGATGTTTCTGTTGTCCTCGCCATCACAGCAGATGCCCTGCGGAAGTGCAAGCGCGAGTGGGCGGTCAAGTGAACACTCCGGCTGCTGTGGAGACGTTGCGTGTGAATGAATGCCTTTCGGCGGCTACTGAAATATTTTTTGTCGCCCGAGATTACGCAACACCAGACCTTTGACTTCTGGGCTTGCGTCGTAAATTAACCAATTAAGTCAACAAACATGCATAATTACACACACAAGTATCCAGCGTGCCCGTTACAGCCGGAGTGAACTAGTGGGCTCTCCTCAATCTCTGTCACTGCCTCTTAAGAACACATCTTCACGGAGTGGAGATCATGTGGTGAGTGAAAAAATAACTGGCAATCCACACATCGACCGAGGAGATACAAATGCCTACACACATTATGTCGATTAGTGATAGAATCCCTTCGATCTGGCGGATCAACTTCCAGCTATGTTCTACTGGTTCTTCCTTGTTCTCGTTGCATACCATGACGGCACTCTTCTTAACGTTGACAGACAATCTACATAAACGGCCGTCATTATTTCCCGCCCCGACTGCACAAACTTCCCAGAGCCCTGCGTACCTAGAAGGTGGGGAATAAATCATGTTTTGTTATCTCTCCGCCTCCCCCCTCCTCCCCTCCCCGGGGGAGGCCGAGGCCCGCAAGTGCAGTTAACCCTCGAAAAAACCACCCAACAACGACGGATATACGGTCCCTAGCACCGTGTAGGAGAGGATCCTGAGTTTGGCGGTCGGGAG